TACCGATGCCGAGAAGGAGGCCGAAGACGAGGCCGAGGACGAGGCCGAGGACGAGGCCGAGGACGAGGCCGAGGACCGTGACGAGGCCGAAGACGAGGCCGAGGACGAGGTCGAGGACGAGGCCGAGGACGGTGACGAGGCGGAGGACGAGGCGGAGGACGAGGCCGAAGACGAGGCCGAGGACGAGGTCGAGGACGAGGCCGAGGACGGTGACGAGGCGGAGGACGAGGCGGAGGACGAGGCCGAGGCCGAAGACGAAGCGGAGGACGAGGCTGAGGACCGTGACGAGGCGGAGGACGAGGCCGAGGCCGAAGACGAGGCGGAGGCCGAGGACGAGGCCGAGGACGAGGCCGAGGACGAGGCCGAGGACGAGGCCGAGGACGAGGCCGAGGACCGTGACGAGGCGGAGGACGAGGCCGAAGACGAGGCAGAGGACGAGGCCGAGGACGAGGCCGAAGACGAGGCGGAAGAGTAGGGAGTATGTCCGCCCTCGCCACCCCCACGACCAACCTCCGCCGCGACGGCTAGGGGGCGGCCTCCGGCCGCCGCCTGGCTCGGTTCACCGAGGTACCCCGCGAACCCCCCTGGATAATTCTGAAGGGCAAGCGGCTGTGTTGAGGTCCCTGTTGAAGTGCAAGGTTTGAGGTTGAAGCCCAAGTTGAAGTGGCGTTTCCTAGTAACATATCCCGCCGGCTTACCTCGCCAACTTGCCTTTCAAGCTCGCTCAAAATAGCAAGATAGCTGCCGCAATAGCGCTCTTTCTTTCCAAAATTCCCGCTCAAGTATTTTCCGACGAGCTTCGACATTCTATCTCCGCGCCCAGCGCGGAGGACGGGTGGCATGGGGAGGACCCAGCCTTGAACAAAGGCCCTACCCCGCACTCCACCTCACACCCGGGGCTACTAGCGGACCGGAGGCTCGGTGAGGCCTATGTTGGAGGGAAAGTCAAGGGAGTGACGGCGACCGCTTCGGCGGCGCGGACGACTACGTCGACAGCGTCACCGTCGGCGACGTCGTCGAGTTCGAGGTCGAGGGCGTCGACGAGCACATCCTCCACATGCACATCAACCCGTACCAGCTCCAGACCATCGACGTCGAGGACGAGACCTACTTCCAGGTCGGCGACTGGCACGACTCCCTCGCCTTCGAGGGCGGCGAGGACGCGCGCGTGCGCATGTCCGTCGACACGTTCACGGGCAAGATGATCCTCCACTGCCACATCCTCGAGCACGAGGACGAGGGCATGATGGCCGTCTACGACGTCCGCGGCGACGAGGGCGACGTCGTGTCCCAGGCCGAGGCGTTGGACCTGACCTGCTACCGGAACAGTGACCGCGGCTACGCCTACGCGGCCGGCGGCGGCGCGACGACGCGGACCTACGCGCCGTCCTACCAGCCGACGCCGAAGCCGAACTACGCGCCGACGGCGTCGCCGTCGACGAATGCGTGCGCGGACGACGACGCCTGGCGCAAGTCGAACGCGCCGGCCAAGGACTGCGCCTGGGTCGCGGCGCTCCCCGAGAGTCGGTGCGCCGTCAAGGGCGACGGTGTCTGGGCCTGGCGGGCCTGCCGCGAGTCGTGCGCGACGTGCGACTACGGCTGCGCGTCGGGCGTCGGCGACGACGCGGGCTGGCGCAAGAACGGCGCCGCGGACAAGGACTGCGGAGTCAACTTCCCAATAAGGCGTCCGCTAGCACGTAAAGACGTCCCCGGGCGAATCCTACGTCCGCAGAGGGTTCCTAGACGCTTTGGGGAGGTACAATGACGTTTTTGGGCTTCGGGCGGCGCCCCCCGGCGAAATCGTGAATTGTACCTTTCTCAAACCCCCGGCGAAGGTCTGCGGACGAAATAACACAGCCGAGTGAGAGGATGGAGCTACCATCTCAGCGCGCTGCGCGCGGTGGACTTGCTGCGCTGCGTGCCTGACCTCACACCCATTCGCGAGGGTCGTTTCTGCGCTCTGGCCAGCGACGAAGTCGAAATTTTCTCCCGCGCGGCGCGCGGGGCGGGTGCGGCGACTCTGTGGCAGCGGCCTCTCGGGCGGCGGCAGCGGCGGCTGCGCGGAGCAGGCTCGTTCTCTGGCGAGGGCGCGACCTCCTGCACGCCGCGCGTGAGCGGCACGTGCAGCTGCGCCGGTTCTGGACCGCTACGCGCACTGGATCCCGCCGAATTTTTCCTCCCGCGCTTCGCGCGGCAAGGAGGCGCTCGAGACCAAAACCGGTGCCTGGGCGCTGCGCGGCTTCATGGAGGTGGTCTAGAACATGTTCGAGGACGCCATGGACTTGGTCTCCGCTATAATCTCCACGCGCGCGCGCGACGACGACGACGACGACGACGACGACGACGACGACGACCGGCCGGCCGGCCGGCCGACCGACCGGCCGGGGCCGGGGCCGACGGCGCAAATGGCGTCCGTCGACGCCTCCGGCTTCGGCCCTGCGTCCCCGGGGTAAGACTAGGCGCCCCCGGCGTCGTAGCGACCGTAAATGCACTTTTCCCGATTAACGACGGGTCTGCCTCGCTTATTGGGAGGTTGACTCTGCGCCTGGGTGTCGAGCTTCTCCTACGCGCGGTCGGCCGTCGTCGGCGACGACGGCCGCCTGGCCTACGAGGCCTGCCCGGAGGCCGTGAAGCGCTGCTCCTACGACGGCTGCGACGACGACGCGGCGTGGCACAAGAAGGGCGATCCGGCGAAGGACTGCGCCTGGGCCGCGGCCGCGACGAGCCGCTGCATCGCCGTCGGCGACGACGGCGCCTACGGCTTCGAGGCCTGCAAGGCCGCGTGCGTCTCCTGCGCGGCGGCGCACGGCGACGCGTGCGCCGACGACGGCGCCTGGCACAAGGTCGACGCGCCGTCGAAGGACTGCGCCTGGGTCGCCAACAGCGAGGCGCGGTGCGCCGCCAAGGGCGCCGACGGCTCCTGGGCCTACGACGCCTGCCCGGCGGCCTGCGGCATCTGCGCCTAATCCCTCCCCGCCCTTCCTTCCCTTCCCTTCCTCATCCTTACCTTCCCTTCCTGCCCCCCCGCCCTCTGCTGCTCGCAAGGGTGAGTCTTCGGTGATTCCCCAGCGCGCGGCCTCCCGAGTCCCCCGTCCTGCCCCCCCCCCCGCCCTCTGCTGCTCGCAAGGTCGCTTATCCAGGGGGGTTCGTGGGGTGCCGGCGAGCAAAGCCAGGTGGCGGCCGGAGGCCGCCCCCTAGCCGTCGCGGCGGAGGTTGGTCGTGAGGGTGGCGAGGGCGGCGCGGTCCGCGAGGCGGCGCGCGTCGTCTTCGAGTCGGTGGGAGAGGGCGCGGGCCTTGGACGTCCAGGTGCCGTCGACGAACTTGAGGCCGGAGATCAGGTAGCGCGCGCGGTACTTCTGCTCGCAAAGGTGAGTCTTCGGTGATTCCCCAGCGTGCGACCTCATAATGTTACTATTGTAGCCGGAGCCTGCTCGAGGTTGGAGCTCAAACTGCGGAACATGGGACGTGAAAGACAGTGTGTGTTAGCGCGCCGAAGCGACGGGGATGGGGGTCCGGGGGCCGCGCGGCCCCCTACCGCGCCGCGGTCGCGTTGAACGGGTCGCCGGCGGCCTCGCCGCCGATGGAGGACCAGGGCGTGAAGCGGTAGCCGTTCTGCATGCCGACGTTGGACAGGGGCGTGGGGATGTCGAGCTTCGTCGCGAGCGTGCGGTTGCCGTCGACGTCGAGCCTGGGCAGCAAAAGGGTGCGAAATTCCCAACTTCAAAGGCTCATATCTCGGCCGTTTTCCACTCGTTTTGGCTGATTTTTGGACGAGCGATCATCTCTCGGAACGGTCTCGAAGCGTGGATGCTTTTTTTTCGGAACGCGCGCGCGCGGAACACTCATGTTGAAGCGACGTTGAATCACCCTTTTGCTGCCCTGCGTCGAGCTCGAAGATGGACGCGGCGCCCTTGGGGTTCTCGTCGTCGGACTCGACGGAGGAGAAGGCGACGAGGTAGTGGCCGTTGGCGAGGCGGTAGACGGAGCCGCCGACCTCGTTCCAGGTCGACCGCTGCGCGAAGGTCTGCATGTCCTCGGGCGACCGGTAGAGGCCCGTGACGTCGTCGGGCGCCTCGAACTGCCAGACGACGCGCGCGACCATGGCCTCCCGGTCGAGGCGGTACATGATGGCCCGGCTGAAGCACTGGCCCGTGCGCATGATCGTGCAGCCCGGCCGGTCCGTGCCGTCGTCCATCATGACGATGTTGCCGTTGTCGAGTTGGATGACCGCGTGGGGCTGGTAGAACTTGTCGAGGTCGCGCTCGAAGGTAAAGTCGGAGCCGACCTCGTCGTGGGAGCTCAGCGTCCACTGCAGCCCGCTCCCGTCGCGCTTCAGGGACCAGATCGTGTCCAGGTTCCGCGACGACACGAGAATGTTGTCGTCGCGGCCGACGGAGATCGACGACACGTGGTGGAACTCGATGGCGTTGCGCGCGGACGCGCCGGCGCAGGTCATGTGCACGCTGTTCCAGGCCGTCGTCTCGAAGAACGCGCCCGCGGACGTCGGCGAGAAGACGTCGTTGAGGTCGTAGAGCGTGCTGACGGCGTTGGCCTCGTGGTCCCAGGCGACGACCTCCGTCGTCGCGAAGGTGTCGACGTGCTCCACCAGGGTCTGCGTCGGCCCCATCTTGAGGGGCACGCTGACGTTGGGCACGACCATGGCCTTGTACTGCGTCGTTAAGACTTGAAGGTCCTTGGAGTTCTTGTCGACGCGGCACTCGTGCGAGAGCTTGTTGAAGTTCAGAGGACCGTCGCCGCAGGACTCGATGAACTGGGTCACCAGAGTCCCGTCCGGCAAGATCTTCTGGAGCTGGCTGTTGGCCTCGTAGAGCGACCCGTCCTCGCCCTTGAACGATTTCGCCGAGGTCCCCTTGCCGTGGTCCGTGAGCTCGCTGCAGGACCCGTCGGACCGAGCGATGAGGGCGATGGTGTGGTCCGGCAGGAAGTCCCAGGCCTCGAGCATGCAGAGCGAGTACATCCAGACGACCCAGCCCTCCGCGTCCACCGCGACGAGCCCCTGGAACCACTGCTTCGCCTGCTCGTGCGCCGTGTAGGACGGGTAGACCGCGAACGCGCCGACCTCGAAGGACGGCGCGTCGCCGGAGACGGCGGCGTAGGCGCCACTGTCGAAGCGGTGCCAGCCCGTGGACTGCGCCGTGAAGTAGCCGCCCGCGACCTCGACGGCCGCGGCGCCCTCGGCCGCCGCGAAGACGCGGTAGACGTAGTCCTGGGCCGCCCGCAGGCGGAAGAGGTCCACGCTGTAGGTCGCGCTCATCCCGTCGACGAGAAACGTCTCCGGCGCCGTCCAGAGGCTCGGCAGCGACGAGCCCTTGCGCGGCTTGTACTCGACGGACACGGAGAGCGTCGACCCGACGAAGTCGCTTCCGAACTTCACGGCCACCGTCGCGTAGAGGGGCATGAGCGCATCGGCGTCGGGGATCGTCGCCGTCGCCGTCGCGAGGGCGTCGGCGTCGCCCCCGGCGTCCTCGCCGGGCGGCGCCGCGTTGTTGGGCTTGGCGCCGACGGCGTCGAGGGCCGCGGGGCTCTGCGCTTTGTGCAGGGGGGCGAGCACGCCGAACCACGCGACGACGAGGAGCGCCGCCGCGGCGACGCGGCGGGACCGCGGCTCCATGGCGTCGGCGCCGACGACGGGCAGCCCCAAAGTCGTCGTCGAAATGCGATAGATACCGAGGTTCTTGACGGCAAGGTCGACCCGATGCTCACGACACCGTGTTCTCACGACTCGCCGCCGGACTCCGATGGCGATCCGCCACCGGACTTTAAAGCCGGGGCCGCGCCAAATCCACGCGAACCCCTCGGCCCCGCGGGTCGTCGCGGTCGTGGGGGGCGGGCGTTATGAAAAGGGGGGGCGGGTCGGGGGCGGGGCGCGCGGGCGCGGGCGCGTCCGCCGGCTCACACGTCGAACTCGACGAAGAAGTACTGGAGGCGCTTGTAGCAGGAGTTGTCGTTCCAGCCGCCGTTGCCGTCGAAGCAGACGCAGTCCTCCTCGCCGTTCTCGTCGGGTTCGTCCGTCCTTGAAGTTGGAGTAGAGGCCCTTGACGGGGCCGCCATACTGCCAGAACACCGTCGAGCCCATGTAGCCGTCGAGCCACGCGAACTCGCCCTCGTTGGTCATGTCCGTCGCGCCGATCCAGGCCTCGTTGCCATGGGCGTAGCCGTGGTGCGTCGTCATCTTCCGCAGCAGGAAGTCGTTCTCCTCGGCCGAGTCGATGGTCGCGAGGTAGCCGGGCGCGCCGCCGTAGCACCGGCCCCAGGCGTCCTGCTCGGCGCCGCGCCACGTCTCCTGGACCCAGTTGCCGCCGACGACCTGGTAGTGGTGGCCGTCGAACTCGAAGACGTCGTCGCCGTAGAGCGCGTACTCCATGTACTGCGGGGGGCGCGGGCGTCGCGGCGCGCGCGCGCGGTCGCGGGGGTGGCGGCGCGCGCGGCGGTCGCGGACGGGGCGGGGGCCGCGCACCTCGCAGCGCGACAGCCAGTGGTTGACGGCGCCGCCGTCGACGCCGCGGCCGTCCTCGAACCTAAGCGTCGCGCGTCGCGAAAGGCGCCCCACAACCCCCCCGGGGCGCGGAGACGCGCCCGCGGCCGCCGCCGCCGCCGCCGCCGTGGTCGAGGGCGTTGTTTGCCCTGCCCAAGGCAACGCAGGCGATGACGAACGAGATGAACCAGAGCGCGTAGAGGAGCGCCATGTGGTGGGTCAAATTCTCGGCGATGCAGCGCAGCGGCGACGCCGCGAAGCGCGTCTCGCCGCGGCGCTGGTTCATCGTGAGGCCGTCCTCGACCTCGAGGAGCGACGAGCCGCTGGGCGCCGCCGTGTAGTCTTCGTAGGTGGGCGGAACCTGCTCCATCACGCTGTTTCGCCCCCTCGGACTCCGCGGATCCGCACAGCGGCGGCGCGCAACGACTCCGAGGCAGCCCCGTCGGACCATGGCGGCGCACTTCGCGTCCCCGGCCCTCGGTCCCGACGCGCTCAAGTCGGCCCACTCGCGCCTCGACAAGCTCAAGATCTGCGGCGAGTGCCAGGGCCTGGGCATGGTCAAGCAGACGGATGGCGGCAAGGGCGCCCTCCACATCGTCCGCGACGTCAACTGCAGTAAGTGCCGCGGCGAGGGCATGATCTTCGTCGGCCCGCCGGCGGAGCGCGAGGCCTTCTACGCCGAGGCGAACCGGAAGCCGTCGACCGAGGGCCTCGCGGCCGCGGTCTCGCTCAAGGACGAGGGCGACGCGCTCGCCAAGTCGGGCGACTGGGCGAAAGCGGCGGCCAAGTACTCCGAGGCGCGGGGCCTGGACCGCTGCTACCTGCCGGCCCTCGCGAACCGCGCGCTCTGCCACCTCAAGCTCGCGGACTTTGGCAAGTGCGTCGCGGACTGCTCTTACGTCATCGCGACCGCGGACAAGGGCTCCGCGCTGCGGCTCAAGGCGCACCTCCGCCGCGCGACGGCTTCCGTCGCGCGCGGCGAGCGGGCCGATATGGGCGTGGCTTTGGATGATCTCGCGACGCTGCTCCGCGCGCAGCCGGGCCACCCGGCGGCGAAGAAGTTGCTGGAGGAGGCCCAAACCAAGGAGGCGGCCTTCCTCGCGGCGGAGAAGGAGGCGCTCCTCGGTAAGCCGGGCGACCCGAAGCCCGCCGAGGCCGGCGCGACGGACTTCGACATCCTCGACTAAATTGCGATAATTTCGCTGCAACTTTGTTAAGGTGAACTTGAGCTAGTTTGACGTTGACGCAGTCCGCCGTGCGATGAGCTCCCACTGCCGCAGAAAGCGCAGCCAACCCATGCGCTCGCCGTTCCACCTGCTCGTCGTCATGTCTACGCTCGCCCACAGCTTCGCGCCCGCACAACACCCGCCGCCGCGCCGCGCGGCGCCGCGCCGCGCCGTCGAGCCGACGCTCGGCGTCGACTTTGGCCTGCGGCGCACGGGCGTCTGCGTCGGCCGGGGCTACGCGTCGCGGCCGCTCGAGGTCGTGGAGAACTGCGGGAACCTGACGGCGCACGCGGCGGCGATCGTCGCGCTGGCCCTGCGCGAGGGCGCGACGGCGTTCGTCGTCGGCCTGCCGCTCGACCGCGACGGCTCCGAAACGGAGCAGAGCGGGGCAGGACAAGAGTGATTCAACGTCGCTTCAACGTGGGTGTTCCGCGCGCGCGCGTTTCGGAAAAAGCATCCACGCGTCGAGAGCGCTCCGAGAGATGATCGCTCGTCCAAAAATCAGCCGAAACGAGTGGAAAATGACCGAGAGAGGAGCCTTTGAAGTTGGGAATTTCGCACCCTTTTCCTGCCCAGGAGCAGAGCGGCCTGAGCCGCGCGTTCGCGGCGCGCCTCGCGGACGTCGCGGCGCTCCTCGTGCGCGACGCGACGTCCGTCGTGCTCTGGGACGAGCGCTTCAGCAGCCGCGAGGCCGAGGCGCTGCTGGCGTACTCGCCCGAGATGGCCGGCATGCTCGACGCCGTCGCCGCGGCCGCGATCCTCGACGATTTCTTCGCCGCGGAGACGCCCGCGGAGGCCGTGCGCGCGTCGCCGGCGGTGGTCGCGCGCGCGGCGGCCCGCGGCGCGCCGCCGCCGCCGCGGCCCCACCGGTCGCGCGCGCCGCCGGCCGCGCGCCGCGGGAAGGCGTCCCGGTTCATGAAGTACCTCGACGACGACGAGGCCGGCGCGGCGTCGTAAGGGGGGGAGCTTAGTGAGATGGGAGGAGCGGGGCGGCCGCGCGCCTAGGAGGACACCGCGGGGAAGACGACGCCGCGCGCCTCGCAGTGGGGCCAGGAGAAGTCCTCGTAGTAGTAGGACATCTTGTAGTCCTCGAGGGACATGTGGTCGAAGATCTCGCCGTTCGTGAGGTAGGCGGGCGCGTAGTCGCCGGTCTCGACGTCGAGGACCATGGACTTGAACGCCGTCAGGTCGTAGCCGTGGTGGCCCTTGCAGTCCGTCGTCGTGCTGTACTCGCAGTAGGACGTCATGGAGATGTCGCCGTAGGCCTTCCACTCCTTGGTCACGAAGGGGTCCGCGAGCATCTTGTAGTGCAGGAGGCGCTCCATGGTCGGGTGGATGGACCAGAAGGACACGTCCGCGGGCGACGCGGCCTCCATCTGCTCGCCCGGGTACCACGACATCTGGCAGAAGGCCGTCACGAAGGCCTCGTAGTCCTCGACCTGCAGATCGTCCAACCAGGCGTACGTGATGTCGCTGAGGCCCGTGCGGTAGAAGTTCTCCGCGTAGTAGAGCAGCTTCGCGACGATCGCGGCCGCGAAGTCGTCCTCGCCCGCCGCGCCCTTGCACACGAGGTGGCACTGGTCCTGGGGCGTGTCGTCGGAGCAGTACGTCGGCGACTCGAAGAGGCCGTCGCGCCAGAAATTTTTCGTAATACCCACCTGCATCAACGCGAGCGACTTGAGGCCCTCGGCGTCGAGCATGGGGAACTGCGCGCTTAAATCGCCGCAGTGCGTGAAGCCGCCGATGAAGTAGTGGATGGGCCCGTGGGGCGCGTAGCCCGCCGTCCAGACGTAGTCGAACCAGTTGTCGTAGGAGAAGGTCAGGTTGTAGTGGGCCTCGCAGGACGGCCACGTGTCCAGCGAGAACGTCGTGTCGCAGAACTCGTGGTTCCGAGTGAGGTACGGGTCCTTGTTCACGTTCCAGGGCGCGCGCAGGTACCCGTAGGGGTTGTGCGTCGTCGCGTTGCGGTCCCGCGTGACCTTCTGGTAGGCGAAGCGGCCTTTCGTGACCGTGTGGCGGTCGTCGTGCGTCGCGTTGCCGTACCAGTCGTCCGTCCAGAGCTTCGAGCTCCACAGATCCGCGGTGTTGCCGCCGCCGCCGCGGACGCGCGCGATGTCCTCCGTGTAGTCCCAGAACGGCAAGGCCAGGCTGGCGTCGACGGCCTGGAGCGCGAGCTCGAGCTCGTTGGTCACGGCGACGTGCTGCGTCAAGAAGCCCATGCCGTCGTGCATCGTGTCGATGTCGCGGCGCGCCGCGCGGTCCAAGTGCGTCTCCGTGAAGTAGTCGAGGGACCGGTAGTTGATGCCGTACGACTCTAAACCCGTGGCCGTGTCGACGGTCATGAGCGTCTTGAAGGCGTCGAAAAGCTTCTCGCGCTCCGCGGTTCTTAAAGCAAAAATGTTGCGCCGGACGTACTTGCACTCGACCGTCGTCGTCTCCTCGACGGCGTTCCCGCCCTGCTGGGACGGGTCGTCGGGCGACGCGTCGAGCCGCGCCGTGACGGCGTAGGTGCCGAGGCTCGCGAAGACGTAGGTCGCGCTGTGGCCCGCGATCGCGACGGCGTCCTCCGCGGCGCCGCTCGACTTTGCTATCGTCCAGCCGTAGGACCGCGACGGGTCCTCGGCGACGTTGCCCATCTTGAGGGTCGTCGCCCGGTGGGGCTCGACGAGGCGCCCGTAGGTCACGGACGGGTACATGGCCGCCGGGTGGCCCCGCGTAGCCGTGTACTCGTTGCTCACCTCGATGCCCAGGGGGCTCGACGCGCTCGAGAGCAGGGCGCTACCGCCGAGCGGCGCCTGGCTCCGCGACGCGACGAGGAACGCGCCGGGGATGGCGACGAGGAGGCTCAGCCCCGCCACGCGGGCCATCGTCGACCGGGCCTGCGTCTCACCCATCGTCGCGCCGGGCTGCCTCGACCGACGACGCCCGCGAAATCCTTGCTCGTATCTTCATCGTCCACCTTGCCGCCGGGGCTGCCCCGCTCCTTGCCGTCGTGTTCGTCCGCCGGCGGCGCCCGGCGCCATGGCGTCGGACGCGCGCGGCGCCGTCGGCGACTGGCTGGACCGCGTGACCGACGGCGCCATGGTCAACGTCTGCCTCACCTGGGCCGCGGGCTTCGGCCTCTTCGTCGCGAGCTTCAGCGCCGCGGCGGCCTACCCGGCGCCGCTCTTCGAGCTCGAGGTGCGCCTCGTGCGGCGCCTCGCCAAGGTCATCAAGCTCCTCGTCCTCGCGCTCGAGCTGCTGGCGCTGCCCAGCGTCCTGTGACGATTTTCGAGAGATTTTGACCGGGAAAACGAAGAGAAATCGAAGCCGTCGTGCTTGGTAGGCGCTGCCCCTGGTCTACGTGAGCGCCTTCAAGGAGAACCCGGCGGGGAGCCAGGACGCGACGATCGTCGCGCGGGACCTCAGCTGGAACTTTTGGTACCCGCGGTGCGTGAGCCAGATCGTGCTCCACGCCTTCTTGGGGCCGCACGTGAAGACGCACCACGCGCTGCGCTGGGCCTACCTCGCGGCCCTCGTCGGCTTCGTCGCGCTCGACTCCGTCGCGGCCGTCGCGCTGCAGGGCGTGCGGACGTGCGTCGCGAACCGGCGCTGCCGGAACCCGGACGGCTACGACTCCGCGGGCGTCGACCTGCTCGTCGCGCGCGAGCTCCTCGCGCTCGTCTGGGCCGAACTCAAATCTTCAACCCGACTTCAATGTGAGCGTATTTGACAGTTTCGACGCAGACTTTTCGGCCTCGCTTCGAGAACTCGACGAGAGCACTAGATTCGTCCAAAAATTAGCCGAATCGACTTAGATTTGACCGAGCTAGAGAATTCTGAAGTTTGGTCAGGACCACCCAAACCAGCGGTTGAATTCGGCACAGGCGCTCGTCGCCGAGACGTGGCTCCTGCTCTGCCTCGGCTACGTCATGGCGTCGCTCGGCTTCTGCCGGAACCGCTTCGACTTCCGCGTGCTCGGGAAGAAGTACGACCGCGGCGCGGTGCTCCGCGCGGAGATGACGCGCTGCGGCCTGCTGCCCGTCGACGACCCGCAGGTCCATCGGCCCCTCTTCGGCCTCCACAGCCGCGCGCCGGGCGCCGGGCCCGCGGCGCCGCGCGCCGCGGCGAACAAGGTCGCGCCCGCGCCGTCCTAAGGCCGCCCGTCGTTTAAAAAGGCGCGACCCCCCGGTCAGTTGGGCGCGGGCGCGTCGGCGTGGTGGTCGCTCTCGAGCCTGCGCGGGGCGCCTCCGACGCGGGCGGCGCGGACGAGACGCGGGCGCCGCGCGAGTAGGCGAGGCCGTTGACCTTGACGAGGCGGTGGTCGTGGCGGACCCAGGGGACGGACCTGCGCGGCGCGGCGTCGGCGCGGGGGGGGCTCGAGAAACCGGGGACCCGGCGCGACGCGCTCGAGGGCGAAGTTCCTGGCGAAGTCGGCGTCGGGCGTGATGCGCATGTGCTTGCAGAGGAACTTGCCGACGAAGTCGAGCGTGCGCTTCGACCGCGGCGACGAGTGCGTGCCCTCGACCATGGCGAGCACGCGGGGCCTGGGCAGCAAAAGGGTGATTCAACGTCGCTTCAATGTGAGTGTTCCGCGCGCGCGCGTTCCGGAAAAAAGCATACACGCTTCGAGACCGTTCCGAGAGATGATCGCTCGTCCAAAAATCAGCCGAAACGAGTGGAAAACGGCCGAGATAGGAGCCTTTGAAGTTGGGAATTTTGCTCTCTTTTGCTGCCCTGCGCGGGGCCCTCCGTAGCTCCGCACGAGCGCCTCCATGTGGGAGATGCCCACGAGGGAGTCGTCCTCGGCGTGGAGGAAGAGCGCGGGCGTCGCGCAGTCGCCGACGTGGTCGATGGGCTTGAGGTCCGAGATGTTGAACTTCGCCGTCTCGAGGATCGTCGTCTCGAGGAAGTGGAGCACGGCCTGCGTGACGACCCAGGGCGTCGAGAAGCCGCCGATGAGGCGCGTCGACGCCAGGTCCACGGCGAGCTGGTGGATGTCGCTGTAGGGGCTGTCGAGGACGACGGCGTCGAGCGGCTCGACGTCGACGCGCGCCGCCGCGTCGCCGCCGCGCGGCGCGGGCGCCTTGCTCGGCGTCGGCGGTGCCGGCGACTCCGGCGGCGGCGCCTCGCCGACGACGGCGGCGGCGAGCTGGTCGCTCAGCGTGCGCCGCGGCGCGCCCCGCGCGTCCGGCGCGGCCGCGGAATCTTTCCGCTTCTTCAGCAGCGACGACGCGCCCGCGCCGCGGCCGCGCGTGAGCTTCTCCATGTGCGTCGTGTCGCCCGACGCCGCGAGATAGAAGATGATGGACGCCGCGCCCATGGAGCAGCCCCAGGCGCCGAGGGACGACACCGTGCCCAGGCGCCTTACATAGCGCGCGACGACGTGCAGATCCCGCGACTCGCGCCACCCGAGCGACACGTAGGTCCCGTCGCTCAGGCCCGAGCCCGCGCAGTCGAAGGAGAAGAACGTGCAGCCCAGCGACAGCACCAAACTCACGTAGTGGAGCGCCTGGACGCGCGCGGCGGAGTTCGCGTGCATGAAAATCACGCACGGCCGTTTCGCGCCGCCGTCGCCGTAGGCCTCCGGCACCCAGTGCGAGCAGCGCAGCTCCTCGCCGCGCACGTTCCGGAGGCGCACGTCGCGGCGGTGGAAGCGGCCCGCGCCGTCGACGGCGAAGGACGTGGGCCCCAACCGCCGCTCGTCGTAGACGGAGCGCGGCGGACGAATGATCGCGAAGACCAAAGAATCGTAGAGATTGTTCAGGTACGTGCCGACGCTCTTCTGGGGCGGCCGCCCGGCGAGCTCCGTCGCCGCCGCCGGCGCGGCGGGCTTCTCGCTGTTCTCGTCGCCGCCGTCGCGCTCCGGCGGCGGCGGCGTCGACGACCGCTCCAAGTCTCGGTCCGCGCCCTCGTCCGTGCCCGCGCAGCGCGCGGTGTCCACGGCCGGCGGCGCCGGCGGGGCCTCCGGCGGCGGCGCCTCGCCGTCGGCCGGCGGCTTCGGCGGCGCGGACGGCAGCGCGGGCCGCACGTACTTGTGCGAAGGCGGGTCCTCGGCCCAGTCGAGCCTGCGCCGGACTCAAATCTTCAACCCGACGTCAATACGCGCGTAATTGAACGCCGTACTCTTCTGCCGTGCTTCGAGAACTCGACGGGAGCGATCGATTCGTCCAAACATCAGCCGAATCGACGTCGATGTGACCGAGCTCGAGAGTTCCGAAGTTTGGTCGGGATCACCCAGCTCGCTGTTTGATTCCGGCGCAGCGTCGAGCGTGCCGTAGTCGTCGAGCAGCGCGCAGCAGTCGCGCGCGGCGTCGCGGCCCTGGAGCCGGAAGACGCAGCGCACGCGCGCCGCGTCGTCGCCCTCGCTCGGCGGGGCCCACTCGAAGACGAGCTCGGACGCGCCCTTGCCGTCGTCGCCGTCGCCGTCCGTGCAGGGCCGCGGCACCCAGCGCGCGATGCGCCGCGCGGCTAAGACGCCGAGCGTGCGCAGCCGGTCCGTGGACAGCACGCGGACGCCGTCGCGGCCGACGCAGACGACGCACTTGTCCCGCGGGCCCCGCTTCTTGCCGCCGGGCGCCGCGTCGCCCAATTTTGGGCTCAAGACGTAGCCCGAGAACGCGACGGTGCCGAAGGAGTCCCAGGTCTCGACGATTGCCAAATAGTCCGACGCCGCCGACGCGTGGGGGTCGTTGAGGCGGAAGCCGAGCTCCACGAGCACGTCCAATTCCCACTCGCCCGACTCGCGGCTCTTCAACACGCGCTCGGGTAATAAGCTCCCCAACTTGGACCGCACCAAAGACACGGACGGCGTGAGCCGCGGCCGCGGCGACTCGCCGACGTCCAGCGGCGGCGCGCCCGCCGTGCCGTCGCGCGCGAGGCTCAGCGGCGGCGCCGCGGACGCGCGTGCCTCCGCCGCCTGCTCGTAGCGCGCGTCCGTGCCGCCGCCGCCCGCCGCCGCGGGCGCCGCGTCGGGCCGCCGCGAGAGCATCAAACCGCTGAGCTGCACGGCGGCGACCAGGGCCGCGTCCTCGAGCGGGCAGGGCCAGAGGTCCATCATGACGCACGCGCGCGCCTGCACGTAGGCCAGCCGCGTAATCCCGCCGTCGTCGGCCGCCGCGGACATGACGCAGCGCCGCAGCTCGTCGGTCCAGAGCCGCACGAGCAGGACGAGCCTTCCGGGCGCCTTGCCCTGGCGCGCGCAGGCCGCCGCGTTCGGGAACCGCGCGCGCCACGTCCGCGCGAGCGGCGGAGCCGTCGGCAAGCGGCGACGCGTCGACGACGCCCTCGGCCGTCGCCGCGTGGAAGGCGAGGTAGCGCGTCATCGCGGGGGCGATGTTCAGCGCCAGCGCCGCGGCCTCGAGGGCGTCGCCCACGGAGAAGTCGCTCCGGGACCGCAAGCAGGTCTTCGCGCCGTCGAGGAGGTAAAACGCGCGCGGCAAATCCGCGGAACGCGACCGCGCGTCGGCCGCGGCGGGCTCCGGCGCCCGGCGGCGCGGCGTCGCCCCGTTGGAGCTGCCCATGGCGCCCAGGGCGCTCCAGCGGCCGACGAGCGACGTGCCCTCGACGGCCGCGGCCGCGGGCCGCGGCGACGGCGCCGGCGACTGCTCGGGCGGCGGCGGCGGCGGCGGCGGCGCGTCGGCGTCGTCGCCGGCGGACTCGTCGTAGAGCTTCGTGATCTCCTTGGCGGGCACGCCGCGCAGGAACCGCGTCACCTGCGCGCGGGGGGGGGGGCGGCGTGCGGGGCCGGCCGCGCGGCGGCGCGACGCGGGCCGACGCGCGGCCCCGAGGCGCGGCGACCGCGGCTCGAAGGTGCCGCCGGGCGTGTTCTCGCCGGCGCCCGCCTGCTCCGCCCGCTCGTAGGCCTCGGGGAAGCTCAGCGGCCTGGGCGGGTCCACGGCCCCGGGCTGCGGCGGGTCCTCGTCGGGCGACGCGCGGGCCTTGCGGTACTTCTTGTGGAGGGACAGGAGCCGCTCCGGCGTCTTCGGGAGCGACCGGTTCGGCGCCTCGCCCGACATGGCCGGCCGCCGGGCGCCCGAATAGGGCTTTGCGGTTTGTCCACGCCAACCGAGCTCGAGAGGCCGGCTGCGGCGGCAGGCGACGGAGAGGCGCGGCTTGCGGCAAATGTTTCAGTTTTCTTTCGGCGAGCAGTTCAAGGTGAGCTCGAAGCAGCCCCGAAGTCGATGGCCCGCCGCTGAGGCGCGTCATGCGCCCATGCGCACGATCACCGTCGTCGCCAAGGAGGTGTGCCAGCCCGCGTGCGACGCCGTGGCCATCGAGCTCGACGTCGCCGACGGCGCGACGGTCAAAGATGCGAAGCGGCTCCTGTCCATCGCGAAGCCGGCCTGGGTCACGGAGAAGCAGCTCTGGGGCGCCGGCGGCGCTACCCTCGCCGACGGCGACGCCCTCGCGGGCCGCGGCGACTTCCTGGCCTGGGTGTCCTGCGTCTGCCAGAGGAAAACGCTCGCGAACCTCTTTCTGCCCCCGGGCCACGCGGCGGCGCCGGCCGCGGGCGCGGCGCCCGACGACCACGCGCTCTGGGACGACGTCATCGACTAGGCGCGGCGCGGGGGTCGACCGGTAATGGTCGGCGCTACCTCGCGTCGGTCGGCCGCGCGTTCGTTCGTTTTTGTGTATGTTGAAGTTTCGCCGCTTCAACTTTGGCCGACCAGACTCGCGGTCGCGGCTGCGGTGAGAACCATCGCGACGAACCGCCATCGGGGCTGCCTGCCACCAAACCGGGCGGCCGGGACGCGGCGCCGAGACACGGAGAGCATCACCAACTGGGCTGCCGGGACGCGGCGCCGAGACGCGGAGAGCATGGTGTTGATCACGGACGAGAACGATGAGAAATACCGGGAGCTGCGACGGAACGAAGAAACGACAGTGGGGGAGCTCAAGGTCTTGATCGACAAAATGGGGCTCACGGGCACCGTCAAGAAGAACGTTGGGGGCGCATTGCAACGCAAGAAGTCGGACATTCGCGCCGAGATCCTCAAATGGTACCCCGATCCCGACCGCCCACCTCTGGGCGAGGTCTCCGCCAACCCGCGGGCCCCGCCGCCGCCGCCGCCGCCGGAGTTCGCCTCGCCGGTCGCGACGCGCCGGGCCGCGGTGCCCCTCCGGACGCCGCAGCAGAAGCTGGACGACGCGCTTGAAACGCGGGATAAGGCCGCGGCGGTGGCCAGCCTCCAGGTCCTCAGCCCAAGCGGCTTCAAAGGCATGAAATTCAAGCTCAACGAAGTCAAGCAGAAGTTCCCGGAGGAGACCAAGGGCGTCAAGGGGCTCGGCGCGAAGGGCTACACGCTCGCAGACTTTGGCGAGAGCCTCATCAAAGCGCTCGAGAAAGCCATGCGTCCGTCGGCGCCGCCCGGGGCCGAGGCGACGCGAGCGCGCGTCGTGGAGGCGCCGGTGCCCGAGGCAGCGCCGGCGGCCGCGCCGATGGAGGTCGAGCTTCGGGCGGCGACGGAGCCGGCCGCGCCCGAGGCGCCGCGGCTCGCGGCCATGGAGGTCGACGCCGCGCCGCCGCGGACGGAGGCGCCGGCCGCGCCGCCGCCGTCGCCGGAGCCCGACTTCTTCGAAGCCGTGTCGAACCTCTTCGGCTGGCTCGCGCCCGCCGCGGCGGAGACCGAGGACGCCGCCGCGCCGCCGGTTCCCGCGCCGGCCGCGACCAACTGGTTGGGCATCCCAAACTCCGGCGTCGAGGAGCGCAAGGACGACGACGCCGCGGCGCCGACGCCCGCCGCGCCGCCGGCCCCGGTCGCGCCCGGGGAGCCCGGCTGGCCGCAGGTCGCCCGGCGCCTCGCGTCGATCCCGCCCGCGATCGCCGGCGAGGCGACGACCTTCGCGGAGCGCTTCGCGCTGGCCCGCTACGCGCTCGGGAGCGACTGCAGCCCCGACGACAACGAGCACCGGTGGCGGGACATGGGCGCGCGCGGCGTCGCGAACGTGCGCCGCGCCGCGAGGCTCACGTCCGCGGGCGGCGACCTCGCGCTGGAGCTCGAGGCCGACGACCACGTCGACGCGGGCGACGAGAAGAAGGCGAAGTTCCGCTTCCTGCCCGAGGCCGTCCGCGAGGCCGACGGCCGGCGCGCGCACAGAGATTTCGGCGTCGACCGCTTCCTCTACGTGGCGGTCGACGAGGCCGCGTCGGATCGCGAGCTTCGCGCGGCGCGCGCGCCGCTCCAGTTGGCGGCGTGCCAGTACCGCCTGCTCTTCTCGTACCACGACCGCCCGCTGCTCGTCTTCTTCGCCGAGGCGGGCCCCGGGCTCCGCGACGTCTCCGTCGAGGCGGTGCGCGACGCGATCGTGCCGCCGGAGGTCCGCCGCGCGCTCGGGCGCCGCAAGGCCGCGAAGCGCCTCCGCCTCGCCTTCAGCAAGACGCTCCGCGGCGTCGACCTCGCGCCGGACCAGGTCGCCTACCCGCGGGAGCCGATCCGCGCGGGCGACGGCGAGGACGCCGTCGACGGGCTCGCGCTCGTCTCTCGGACCGCGCTCCGGGAGTCGGGCCTCTGGAGCTTCGACGCGGTCCAGATCCGCTTCCGCGGGGCCAAGGCCATGGCCCTCGCCGTCGACGACGCCTACCTCCGCGAGAACTTCGGCGACGGGTGCCACCTCGCGCTCTACCCGTCGGCCGTGAAGTTCCGCTTCGCCGAGGCGGCGTCGGCGCCCCTGGAATTCGTCTCGTGCGCGCGCCGGCGGAGCGCGAATCTCTCGGAGCAGCACGTCGCCGCGCTCGTCGCCCGCGGGGCCCGCGCGGACGACCTCGCCGCCCTCGCGGACGAGACGCGCGAGGAGCTCGTCTGCGACCTCGCGGACGAGCGCCGGGCGCGGCGCGCGTTCCGCGGCGGCGGCGACGACGGCGACACGGCGCCCTGGGTCCTGGGCCCGAACATGCTCCGCGCGGGATTCGCGCTCGAGGAGCCCCTCCTGCAGCACTGCCTCAGGATCTGCGCGAAACAGAAGCTCCGCGGCTGGAAGGGCGACGGCGACGAGGACACGTCCCGCATCGCGCTGCCGCGGAGCGCGGCCGCGCGGCTCTACGTCGTCGCGGACCCGACGTCGTCCCTCGCGCCCGGACACTGCGTCGTCGGCGTCGACGACGACGAGGTCAAGATCGAGGGCCCGGTCGCGATCATGACGGATCCGACGCTCGCGCCGGAGGACGTCCTGGTCCTCGACGCGGTGCCGCCGCCCCCGGCGCTGCTCGAAGCGCTCGGCCGCGTTCCGCGCGGCGTGCTGATGTTGCCCACGACGGCCCGGCACCCGACGGCCGAGTTCTTGTGCGGCGGCGACTACGACGGCGACACGGCCGTCGTCCTCTGGAGGCGCGAGATCGTGGACGGACTCGGCGCCGCGCCCGGCGCCGAGGCGCTGCTCGCGCGCCGCCGCGCCGCGGTCGCCCGGGTCGGCGGCGAGCGGACCGACGGGCCCCCGGTCGTCGCCGACGCCGCGGAGGCGGCCATCGACGTCGCCGTCCACGCGCGGGCCGCCGCGCGCGCGCTCCAGCGAGCCGGCTACGAGTTCAAGCGGGCCGTCAGGCGCGGCCACGCCGTGCCGGGCGACGGGTCCCTTTCGCTGGCGAACTTCGCGCTGAAAGACTTTCCCTACGACGCCACGCCCTGGACGCCCGGCGGCTACGACCGGGCCGTCGGCCCCGCCGACTACGCCGGAGCGCAGGCGTCGCTCCGGGCGAAACTGAACGACGTCCTCGGCGACCTCGAGGCGTTCGACTTCGGCCGCGAGCCCGCGTTCGATCCGTCGCTCCTCGACCTCGCCCACGGCGACGGCGGCGACGCGGCGGTCCGCGCGCGGAAATGGGCCGCGGCGGCGCGCGACGCGTACAACGGCGACGTCGCGCGCGCGTGCCGCTTCCCCGAGGGCCCGCTTCGAAACGAGGCCTGCGGCAAGGTCAAGCGCGACCATCAGGCGAAATTCCTCGAAGCGTGGTCGCCGGTGGATCGCGAGCGCGCGGCGCTCCACCTCTACGCCGCGGCCCACGACAAGTTCCGCGAGACGCCGGACCGGGGCTGGAAGTTCGCCTTCGAGATCGCCGCGCCCGAGCTCCTCCGCGCGAAGCGGGCCCCGCCGCGCGGCCCCTAGGCGCCCCGACGTCGCGTTCCTCCTTTCGTATCCACTCCTACCACGCGGCGGGCACGGCGCAGAACGCGAAGATGCGGTGAGGTTGGGATTTGTTCTTTTCGGGGTGGTTTTGCACAAGCATGGTGTTTACACGACCTGGAGCGTCGCGCGGCACGTCGGGCACGTCATCTGGGTGCTCGCCCAGTCCGTGATGCAGTCCTTGCAGAAGAGGTGGCCGCAGACGAGCGCCGCGGTGGCGCCCGTCATCGGGTCGAGGCAGACGGGGCACTCCTCGGGCTCCTCCTCGGGCTCCTCCTGGGGCGGCTCGGGCTCCTGGACGCGCGCGCGCTTGTTGGCTCGCGACGCCGCGAGCGCCTCGACGTCGGCGGCGGCGTAGGTCTTGATGTCGCAGGCGAATGGGTATTTGCTGTTCTTCGACCGCCGCGCGATCTCGAAGGGGAGGTCCGCGAAGGAATGTTTCGTCAGCTGCGGGTAGCGCTTCAGGGCCGTCTTCCGGTCGTATCGACGACCGGCTTCCACCTCGAGCCAGCGCGGGTCGACCGGTTCCTGGTCCGGCGCGGCGAGGCGCGCGACGAGCGCGTCGACGTCGGCGGCGAGGTAGGTCTTGACGTCGCGGGGGCCCTTGCAGGGCTTCGGCCGCCGCGCGATCTCGAAGGGGAGGTCATCAAAGGAATGACACGTCAGCTGCGGGTAGCGCTTCAGGGCCGTCCTCTGGTCGTAACGCGCGCGGGATTCCACCTCGCGCCAGCGCAGGTCGACCGGTTCCGGGTCCGGCGCGGCGAGCCGCGCGACGAGGACGTCGACGTCAGCGGCGAGATAGGTCATGACGTCGCGTGGCGGGCCCTTGCCGATCCACGGCTTCCGCGCGATCTCGAAGGGGAGGTCCACGAAATGGTAAGTGTTCAGCTGCGGGTACAGCTCCATCGCCGTCTTCGCTGTGTGCCGCGTTCCCGCTTCGACCTCGCCATAAAGCGCGACCTTCGCCTCCATCGCCCGCTGCGTCGGCTAAATTCTGGCTCCAAGAGCCCCGGGCAGAAGCGTGCGCATCGACTTTGAGAGTCGATAAGGGTCTTGTGGATATTTTCTGGAGCGCCTGGCGAGCCTCCAAAATCGACGACATGATCTCCGCCCTCAGGACTCGCCATCGCCGGCGTCGCCCGCGCCGTCCGCGACTTCGAGGAGATCGCGAGCGTAGGACTACGGAGGCTAAGCGCGGTCTTGCACGAGTATGGGCCTCTAGAGACGATACGAGCCCGAGGCGCGGACGCGCGAGCCGCGCCGCGACGCGCGCTCGCTCGTCGCCGTCGTCGTGGGCCTCGCGGACTACGGGTCCGAGTACACGGGGGGCATCTACCTAGGCTCAGGGCAGGGGCTCGTCGTGGTCCCCGAGGCGCGAGAGGTAGACGAACGCGTCCGTGCCGAAGCCCTCCATGGACATGAGCGTGAGGTCGCCGCCGAAGTAGCGCGCGTAGGCGCGCGAGATGGGGAGGCCGTAGCCGAGCCCCGCGAGGGGCGCGCCGACGAAGTCCGTGCCGTCGTTGTTGAAGCCCCGCGCCTGGACGTCGGCCGACGCCGTCGTGTAGAGGTAGGACCAGACGCGGCGCAAATCGCTCCGCGCGATGCCGCCGCCCTCGTCGCTGATCTTGAGCGCGACGTCCTCGTTGTCCTCGCCGTCGGCGACGATGACTCTGATGTCCGCGGGCTCGTCGGCGTCGAGCGCGAGCTGCTTCTCGCAGGACGCGCGCATCGAGTTCTTCAATAGCTCCAGCAGGATGTAGAAGACGTGGTCGGGCACGTACTCAAAGTCCAGGTCCGTGCGCCCGATGATCTTCACGGCCGGCGCGACGCCGAACTGG